TTTTGGTGATGATCATTCATGGGCTGATCGTGTTAATGCTCCACCTCTTAATTCATTAATGCTTAATACATTTCCAGGTTTAAGACATACAGTACCAACATCAGCACCTGTTGTTCCTCCACCTCCTCCGCCTCCGCCGCCACCACCATCATCTGTATCTGAACATAATCAAGATTATAGTCGTTTAGTACGTGAAAAAGCTAAAGAATTAGAAAAACAAATTGAATTATTTGAAAAAGAAAATACAAAATTACAATCACTTTGTAATGAACGTAATTTAGCTATAAAAAAATTAAAACAAGATCGTGATGAATTTGAAAAAACTAAACAAAAAGAAATCGAAGAATTTAATCAAATGAAAGAAGATGAAATAAAAAAATTAAAACATGAAAAACGTTTATTTGAACAACATCGACAACAATTACGTGATCATCCAGATAAACGTGAACGAGAAGAAATTGAAATATTAAAAAAACAAGTAAAAATAAAATAAAACGATCTTTATCAATTGTATATTGATAGTTTGAAATTTTGGTTTTTGTATTCAATAGGTTTTAACTTTACAAGAAGATTTAAAACAACGTGAAATACGTTGGTCAACAACAGTTAATCGTCTAAAAGAACGTATTGAAACATTAGAATATGAAAATGCTGAATTAAAACAAGAAAAAGATATTATTGAACGTAAAAGACTTGATCTTATGCATCAACTACAAACAACTTCTAAACAACAATTACATGAAGATACATCATCATTATCAACAACAACAACAACAAGAAAATCACTTATTGAACTTCAACAAACTAAACAACGTCCAAAAAGTACTGGACCAACAACATCAAAAACTCAATCATTACCAAAAACAATGGTTGTAAGAAATTCTGAACCATCAATTAAATCAAAAGTAACAACAAATGGACGACGAACACCAACAACAGTTGTTGGTGTTAATGGTATTAAAAATAATGTTGATACATCAAGAAAATTATCAACATTACCAACAACAAAACGTCCAACATCGATGAATGAATTAACAGAAACTATGGAATCAGTACCAATACCAACAATTATTGAACCACCAATTGTTATATCAGAACGAGCTGATTCAGGAAATGGTGGAAGTGATGATGATAGTCATCGATATGATCGAAAAACTGATGAACATTTATCACCGTAAGTAGACAAGAAAAACAGATGTTAATCGTATTTTTCTTTTAAGTGAAGACTAAAAAACGAGTATCATATAGAATATTTTTCAAACTTTTACTTTATATGAAAAAGCAAGTGATTCAAGATTCATTAGATATTTTTCTATTTCTACAACTTGATCAATTTTAATAAGCATATGTTTTCTTGTTACTGTTGACGCAACAATGAAACACAATGGTGATAGCAAACATCATAATTGTGGATATATACATGAATACTTTTTCTACCACGATAATGTATATTTACCTTTGTTACAGATCATTTAGTTCTCCTTTATTGAATTACTTCGTCATATAGTTCTTCATCATCTGTGGATGACTTTTCATGAAAAACAAATTCTCTAAGTAAAACAACATCCCTTTCAACTTCGGTGGCCTAATCGCAATGAGTTGCTCGATCGCAATCAAACAACTACTTTTCATTCCTATACTTTGATATACATTAGCATTTTGAAAGATCAAAATCTTGTATATATTTGCGGACACGATCCTACGAGTTTGCATTCGAGTCCATTCTTCAGATCGGACTGGACTCAGGACATTACTGTTGATATACTTTAAAATTCTTCATAGATTCAGATGATAATAAAAATAATTTTTTTTCTCTATGTAGATCATTATCATCTATTATTAATTCTGATTATCCAAAAACATTTATTGATAATGATGAATCAAATCATCCAACTACTCTCGATTATAAATCATTATTAACAATGGCTACACGTACATCATCATCAGCCACAACACTTCTTCAACGACATCAAGAAACTTTATCATTACTTGATCAATCAACAACAAAACGACCACTATTATCAACAATTAATCATGATTCAATTATTCCAAGATCTCATATTAATATACCATCATCAACAACAAAAAATATAACATTTAAAGAAAATATATCTATACCAACGAATAATTCAATAATTGAAGAAATTCATCATAATGATGGACGTATTGAACGTATTAAATCTGATTTATCAAAACAAATTCTATTTCCAAATGGTTCAAAACAAGAAATCAGTTCAGATGGTAAACAAATACGTGTTCAGTTTTATAATGGTGATTATAAAGAAAAATTATCTGATGGTCGTTGTATATATAAATATGCAAGTACAAATACAACTGAAACAGAATATCCAGATGGTACACATATATATGAATTTCCAAATGGACAAATTGAAAAACATTTACCTGATGGACGACAAGAACATATATTACCTGATAAAACAAAAAATATTTATTTAACTGATGGTACAATTATATCAATTAAAACAAATGGAGAAAAATTTATTCAACATCCAAATCAAACAAAAGAAGTTCATACAGATACATATAAAAGAAAATTATTTCCAAATGGTTCAATATTAACAGTATTTAATACTGGTGAACAAGAAGTACGTTATGCTAATGGAAAAATAAAAATCAAAGATGCACAAGGCAATATTATTGTAGAAAAAAAAAACTCCAACAAATAAAATTAATAAATAAAAAGATCTCGCTCCTATTTCTTTGTTTTTTTGTTCTTATTGATTGTTTCTCAGGTAGTGATGTATGTAAGCTTGTTAAAATCCGTCCAAGTCGTTTTCTTTTTTTTCTAGTTCTTGCCTTCTTTGTTTTTTTTTTACTCGGGTAATATTATGTCTTATTCGTTCTTAATATTCTTTTGTAACTGTTTTCATTTAATGATTGTATAAACAATCCTAGATTAATAAACTTGTAATATCAATGAATTTATGTCTAATATTTTTACGGTTTGTTTTTAAATACTTCCAATGCTGGTTTTCTATACAATGTTCAGTCATTCAGGTCTATTGTTAATAATGTTAAATAATTTTGATTGCTCTATGATGATAGTTACATAAACAAATGAGAGTTAGAGAAGAATCAATCACGAATAAATGGAAGGTTACAAGAAAACATAGATTTTTGATGTTTAAATCTATGTTGTAGCTGACATCAAAACTATTTGACATTTGAATTTAATGGAATAGAAGAGCTCTAAAAATAATATATATATATTTCAAATTAAAGTTTTATTTATTTTTATTAGATTGTATATAGTTATTTAGTATTATATGTTTCCTGTATACTACAGACTTTTCGGACTTGCTAAATTTCCCTCTACTCTATTAGAGTTAAAAATCTGTTCGTAGTTTCTAGTTCATTTTTTTCATCATCTAATATGTTAGGTCAAAAAAAAACAAAATATGCTACAAGATACAGAGTAAAAAGCTCTACAATTTACAAAGAATGAATCAGTTTTTTTTTTATGTAAACTCCCCCCCAGAATAGAAGGCCACCCCAGAATAGAAGGCCACCCCCATTAGAAGGCCACCCCTGAGTCATATTTGCAAAAGTCACATTAGAAGGCCATGGCTTTCTAATGAATTGTTTGGATATTACATAAATATTCTGTGCTAGTTTTATAAATATCTTAGCATTTTGAGAGATCATGTATGATCTCCACCGCACTCCTGTTTGGTTTTGCTATAAATTTAAAGAGGTATGTTCAATTTCCAAAAGCTGTCAAAACAAAACAAAGTTTAATATGCCTATTTGATCGCTTCAATTCTTTTGCTTTGGTACGATTACATATCTTTTGAATATATATAAAAACTTTTTTGTTCTTTGAAGTATTTGTGGTGCCAGACATCGGATAGGTATACTAATATTTGTTGATTAAATATAATACCTATGTAGCCGATAATGGATGAATAATGGAAAATGATCCATTATTTTCCATTATTTGAAGAAAAACATGAATTAATGCATTATAATTAATTATTTTTTGACTTTTCAATGCATTTCAATGCATTATTTCTAATAATGCTGAAAATGAAGGATAATGCCTAAATTTTCAATGCATTGTAATGCATTATTATAAAAAAAAATGCATTATGATGCGTTGATAAATCAATGTATTGCAATGGATTAATTAAAAATAATGCATTATAATGCATGAAATAGGTTGCATTATCATGTAATTGCATCCATTGCATTTCTATTGTAAAATAATGCATTGCAATGCCCATTATTTCATAAAATCGGCTACATGGGTAGCATTAGCTCAAAAAGTCTAAACAAATTTCAATTTTCAGTTGTCGAGCTAGAAAAACAGAATCAGCAACTAACAAAAAAAAATTGTAATTTTTTACCATAAAAGTCCTATTAGAAGGCCACCCCTAATAGAAGGCCACCC